TAATAATTGACTTGGAAAGTCGATGATCAAAAGCCGGTCAATGGAAATTACGCATTACATAAAGTGCAAGAGAATATGTGGAACGATCAAGAGGCCGTCAAAAGTGGGATCGTAGATGATTTTTCTACAATATTAAGTTAATTAGGGTTTTGGTAAAATATATTTGTTATATTATTATTGAACGAATTGAAATTAGATGCATGAAAATCAAGAAACCACTCCCATGAAACATCGGTAGTTGTTTTTCAAGATTTTTTAGTGAGTTGCATCATGATTTCATACAGGATGTGCGTATTGCCAGATTTGTTCTTATATGTTACGTACAATTTATAACTTGTCAAGCACCTCTATTTCGTGTTTCGAAACATGGGTTACAAACTATATAGGAACAAGTGTTTCCCTCAGATTTTGTACATATGTAACTTAAAAAGCCAGTTATTGACAGTCTATTTTGTGGGAAAAAAAAACAAAAAGAAAAGTTTATGGACTAATTACCCATCAAATCTTAAATGTTGCAGATGACGTTGCGAAGAGCGATAAAGTTACTATAAAATCTAAAGATTAGAGATCAAGTTGATCCATGCCGCAATTATCTCGAAGATTATGATTCTTTAGAACGGAGAAGGACCAAGTTGCGGCAAATTGTAAATCTAGTGACTTATATACTAAATAATTAAACAAATTCAAGTGCTCGTTTAACTTGGATGCATTTGAATTTTTTGCAAAGATTAAGGACCCCTATACAATTTCCCCCAAAATATTCGTGCAGTCAAAGAAACACAGCCAAGTCAAAGTCAAGTGGTCACGTCACGGAGCAATCGCTCACCAAGATTTTTTAATTGTGGGCTTATGCAATTATATTAGATACTAGTTAATTCGCTAAATGGTCCCTGAAGTTTGTAAGAAATTTCAAAATGGTTCTTCAAACAATTATATACTCTAGTTGTCATCGAAATTTATAATGGTTCACAAATGATCACTCAATTAGAAACACTAACGTAAAATCCTACATTTTCCTATACTTCATTTGTTGCATTTCTTCGCCTTTGGGAGGTCAGGTTTTACTGCATAAACAATGGGACATTGAACAAAAATTCAATGCAAACCTTTTGAACTTTTCACTTGATCGCAGTAACTTTTACTGCTACATATAGAACGAATGACACCCTCGAATTGCCCAGAAACTCGCAAAAAAGCAAGCCCCCAAAAGAAAAATTACTTCAAAAACTGCGAAAAAAGATATGAAATAATTCTTTTATCATGAACTATTGGATTAATTGACACAAAGAAGCAGAAAATAAACCTAGGTTAACTAAATTATTCTTCACAAAAACAAGAAATGAGAAATGGGTGTGTGAAATAAAAACTACACTACATATCTTAAAATAAAAAATGGATTACTGAAACAATCCGACTAACCTGACAATGGTAACAAACACTTCCAAGAGATGGAAAAGATCGATTAAGCGTAGTCGGGGAGAATTGGGGAAACGAAAGGGATTCGGGATTTGGCAGTCACGGGAAAGGGAAGGGTGGGCAGTAGGCTACTGGGCTTCTTTCAACATTTTTAAAAGACTTGGGCTTGGGTTGGGTGGGCTTTTTTTATTCAAGGCAAAAAATTAAGGGCCATATAGGGATAGAAACATAGCGGGTATTAGACGGGTCGGCAATTCCCACTCCCGTCCTATTGAGTATTTTTGTTACCTTATTCCGTCTTTATACCCGTTTAAGGAGGGACGGGGCGAGGAAGGTCCCCCTGCCTCATTTATCGTCCCATTTATTTTTTATTTTTATTTTTTGTTTTTATTTTTTTTATGTCTTTACTTGGTAAATATTATTACTTTTTTTACCAATTTGTTAGAAACAACTTATATTCTCTTTAAAAATATAATAAATCTATTATTTTTGTTTGATAAAAAAAATTTAAATTTAAAATTAACTTTAAATGAGACGGGTAGCGGGATGGGGACTATAATTCCCGTATCTGCTCCGTATCCGCTTTGAGGCAATGACCCTCATCCCCTCCTTGCCCCGTTTAACCGATTAGGCAGGTAATCCACGCCCCATTCAGGGCGGGACCCCATGAGTTTCGAGCTGAACATGTTTTTTTGCCACCTTAAGTTGAAAGAAGATACGAATTTGAAAGTGATTAAAAATGTAAGATGCAAATAGAAAGGGAAACTAATTAAGATCCTAGCTATTAAAAATGAGCTCAAATCTATGAGCAATAGTTAATGTCCGAATTTATAAATTCATAAAAATCCGACTCTTTATGCCTATTAGAAGTTAGAACCACCTTTTGCCGTCCTCCAATTACATAATCGATCATCACGTGTAATTGCACCAAATTTCTAAAGAATCTACACTAAAATGAAAGGACATACACAACATTTATATTTTTGTTCGATTGTCATCGTTTTTTTTTCTATTTGTGTCTCACATGGTATTTGTTGAGCACCCCTAACACCTTTAAAGACGCTTATAGACTCGAATAGTAGGGGGGATCACAACATAACAAGACACGCTGAAAAAGAAAATTAGAAAAGATACCACCACTAATCAAGCCACTTGGAATACGAAAAAAATGCTCGGTAGAAAAATGGAATAAGTCAATATGAGACAAAAATGTTGAAAATAAGTAATTTAGCTTCATACTTTTTTAATAAAATAATCTATTACTTTCTCTAATGTGAACCATTTGTAGTATGTCCCATGCTAAAAGACTCTTTGGCGCACAAAATGAGTTGTAGAAAAATTGGTCACTTCTCCACTTATTAATTGGACAGATCCAATTGACTCAAAAGTCACAAGTCTTAAATTTTTGTTTTCTTTCTACCAAAAGGAATTTTCTATAGACCTCAAAATTCTTCAAAGTGAGATTTATCGAATTTACATAATGATTTTAAATATGTTAAATAGTAGCTATCGCCTTTAATCAGCATGTTTGGAACGAGAAATTTCAGCATTTAAGACTTTTTTTTTATTTGCATTAATTTATTGGGGACCTCAATGAACATGAAAGACTGATTGAAATTTTCGACGAAAAGAAATATCGCTAATTTTTCAAACGTTACACAGTAATTCCTCAAAAGGTACTTAGTGGTGTAACTGTGCAAGGCATTCGCACGCGAAGTTGATTAGGAGACTTGGAATCTTACAGAATATTGAATAATTTACTTTTGACTAATTTAGTAGAATAATTCCATTAAGCCTTAAAAAACATTATTATTACTATTATTAAAATTCCAAGAATGATTAGTTCACTTCCAAACAAATTAACTGTAATATTCGAAAAGTTTATAAATGAATAATTTAAGGTAGACTATAACTAATATGACAAGTTATTTTTGGCATACAAAGCTACGAATTTCTTGTAGTAATTTATTGTGACATATAGCAAAAGTGACTTGACATAAATACATGTTTCTTGGAATTTTACTTGTGTATTGACATGATCGTCTTTTAGAAGAAAATTGAGAACAAAAGCAAAAGTGTTACGGAATTGGGAAATTGACGAGGAAAAAATTGGGTTCCAACTAGCAATTGATAACGAGTTAATTTCACATATGGTTACCGAAGTTTGTAAGAGATTTCAAAATGATTGTTAAAGTAATTTTTATACTCTATAAGTCACCTGAAGTTTATAACAATTTTACGAATGATGACTCAGATAGAAAAACTAACGTAAGATCCTATATGTTGTGGCATTTAAGTAACAAACGTTATTTCATATGCAACACATGAAATTTATCTTTTGATAAAAGCATTGTAGATGTCAAATACAGTTTATGTCAACAATCAATTTAAGGAAAAATTATATCTAAAGGTTTGTAAGTCGAACTCTATTTTTGTTTCTTTGGGGACTGTAAAGCCTTAAAATAGAGGGAAAATGGATGAAATGGGGAGGTAATGATACGAGGCTTCACAAATGTGCAAGGAAAAATATGATATATCGTTTAATGGAACTCATTTTCTATTTTGCATAGGCGTAGAGAACCGTAGTGATGCATAAGATTATTTTTTTTTTGGGCCTTTAATCATTTTTGACATATATCATTATTAATACGAACAAATTTGTTTATAGAAAAAGGGTAAATTCTTAATGCGGTGTACAAAATAATGTCTAATAACGCTTAAATGCTGACATGTAGCATTTTACATTAATAATTTTTTGATCGGATGACCAATTTGAAATTTCTTACAAACTTCGACCACCATTGATGAAACCGTTACAAACTAAGAAAAAACGACTTTTATAATTGCATAGAAATCTGAGAACAAAAAGGGGCTAAATAGGAAATTCATAAGTCAACCTTAAGCCTTTTATGGCCCACCTTGGAGCCCAACTTTTTCCACACGGGCTAAGAGTCGATAACGCGTTCGATTATATAAAATCAACACCAACCATTTGAAACTCCAGCCACCACCAAGCACCACCGTGCCTATCCTCCTTTCACGTCCACCGCCACCACCACCATCATCGCCTTGAATGGCTTCCACTTCCATTCCTTCAAAATCCCACCTCTTATTTCTCTTATTCTTCTTCACTCTAATCCTTCTTGTTCAATCAAAACTGAGTCTTGATCCTTCTGACTTTGGAGCCCTTTTGCTTATCCAAAAGGACTTGGGCATCCATGGTCAACGCCGGAGTCAATGTAACTCCGCCGGGATATTCTGTGAATGGAGATTCACAAACAATTCATATGTACTCAAAGTCACCCGTCTAGTGTTTGAATCCCAAAACTTGAACGGAAAAATTTCTCCTGCCATCGGAAAACTCTCTGAGCTTAAAGAACTCTCCCTTGAAAACAACAAACTCTCAGGCAAAATCCCAACTGAAATTTTGCATTGCCAGAGACTTGAGATCCTGAACATTAGGAAGAACCAATTTTCTGGCGAAGTTCCGGAGGGAATTTCTTCGTTAATTCGCCTTCGTGTTCTTGATATTTCGTCGAATAAATTTTCCGGGAACTTAAAATTCTTGAAGAACTCTCCGAATCTGGAAAAACTTGGCCTCGCAGATAATATGTTCGTCGGAAAAGTCCCTTTATCGTTGAGGTCTTTTCGGAATCTTCGATCTATCAACATCTCCGGAAACACTTTACTCGAAGGTCCATTGCCTGTAATGAATCAATTGGAGCATTTATCGTCGGAAACTATTCCAAATCGTTATATTTTGGCTGAAAAATCGATAGAGAGAAACCACACGTCTGCAAGGGCAATGGCCCCTTCTTCGAGTAAAGGCCTTAATGACAGCCAAGCTGAAGCTCCGTCCCCCATGGCAACGACACGACATAATCATAAGAAGACGAAGAGGAAAGTACTCGGTTGGGTAGTCGGATTTCTAGCCGGAGCTTTTGCTGGTAGTCTTTCGGGATTGGTATTTTCTTTGCTCTTCAAGTTTATCATGTTCTTGATCAAAGGGCACAAGAGGGACACAAGTTTGGCAATTTTTAGTCCTTTGATCAAGAATCCCGAGGACCTAGCTTTTCTCGAGAACGAGGACGGATTGAATGGATTGAATGTTATCGGACGAGGTGGATGTGGAGAAGTTTACAAAGCAACTTTACCGGGAACGAACGGAAAGGAAATTGCTATAAAGAAGATAATTCAGCCTTCTCGGGATGCAGAAGAGCTTGCTGGGGAAGACAGCAGACTGCTGAACAAGAAGATGCGACAGATTAGGTCAGAAATTCAGACGGTGGGTCAAATCAGACATAGGAATCTACTTCCTCTATTAGCCCATTTGCCACGGCCCGACTGCCATTATCTTGTTTATGAATACATGAAGAACGGTAGTCTACAAGATGTTCTCCAAGCTGTCTCAGAAGGGAGACGAGAATTCGATTGGCTCGCACGATACAAGGTAGCAATAGGAATAGCTTCAGGCCTTGAGTATCTACACTTGAATCATACCCCGTGTATTATTCACAGAGACCTCAAGCCAGCTAATGTCCTTCTCGATGATGAAATGGAAGCCAGAATTGCAGATTTCGGGCTTGCAAAAGCCATGCCTGAAGCTCATACACACGTTACAACTTCAAATGTGGCCGGAACAGTGGGATACATTGCCCCGGAGTATTACCAAACTTTCAAGTTCACTGAGAAGTGTGATATATACAGCTTCGGGGTGGTGCTCGGAGTTCTGACGATGGGTAAGTTTCCATCCGACGAATTCTTCCAACACACTGACGAGATGAATTTAGTGAAGTGGATGAGAAATGTGATGACGTCTGAGGATCCGAAAAGGGCGATCGATCCGAGACTCCTCGGAAATGGAAACGAAGAGCAGATTCTTTTGGTTCTCAAGATTGCCTGTTTTTGCACCTTGGATAATCCTAAAGAGCGGCCCGACAGTAAGGAAATTAGATGCATGTTAACTCAAATTAAGCATTGATTGTGCAAGAAAAAAGTACTTGTGTAATATGCTATGCTGCTATGATTGTGTTTTATCTATAAGCTACATCAAGTTGTTTTTAAGGTTTGTTTTGCGGTTGTACTTTATTCCTCTATTAAGATTACACAATTTGTACGCATGAAATACCGTAATTGCTCATTGGGTTACATGAATTGTACAACACGGGAGGGGTGATTTGTTTTTTTTTCTTCTTTTTTTGTTTATACAACAAAATTTGGTGAGTTCCTCTTGTCTCACCTTACTCTACTCTGGTATCGGCCAATTTTTTTCAATATCCATGTCTCTGTCTCTATATGAGCCACGTAATACAACAAAATTGAAGTTTCCTTGAACCAGGTCGAGAAGTACCGGACAATGAAAGGCCATTCTTGACTAGAATCAAGAAACCAGAGCCATGAGATTGAAAAAATCGAAAAAAGAATTTATTAGAAAGGAGAAAAAACTGAGAGTGAATTCATAAGTTGTCTCAATTTATTCGAAGGTCGACTTTAATTGCTTTCACAGATGCAACCCGCACATTAAAATTTAAACTTTCATAGAAGGTATATTACAAGTCATTCGTATATCCCATATAGTGCTATTACCATCAATTATTGCTTGTTTCCATCTGTAAACAGAGTGGATCAAGTCCAAGTCCTACCAATGCCAACAAAAGGCCCAGATTTTGGGAGACAGATCCACTACGAATTTACTTCTGGCTTGCCTTTCGGCTCTTTCTTTGCCAATGGCCAATACTGGAAAACTTTTTAAAATTAATTTTTCTTTTTGATATCTAAACTAAATTCGACTAAATATCTTATGACTATACAACCAACTAATAAGATAGAAAGGGACAAACCTCACTCTTAACAAGTTGCTGAGTTTAGCTTTTAGGGCTACGTAACACCTGACAATGGCCTAAAACAAGGGATCAAGGTGCTAAACTAAAATAGGCTTTACTTGGGGTCGCAGACTCTCACAACTCTCTACTAATGCGCTTGACTATTTCGCTTGACTAATGATTGTTTTCCCTTCTCTCAATTCGGAGCCCCAACAAGGAAGGTCTTAGTGCCGAATGAATAGGTGGAATTTATAAGCACTCTTTGTGGCTCACTACAAAGTTGGGTTCTAATAGATACAACTAGTTGCATTTTAGTTCAAATTTGACTGATTTTATGTTGAAAATGATTGTCAATCTCAAATTAGAAATGTCACATCTTAATCAATCAAAAAGCAGTTGAAGGAGAATTCACCAGTTGCTTTATGGTTGAGGTTGAAGTAATTGTGCATGACTAAAAGTCTAACAAGCAAGTTGAAACTCAAACATCGTTTATACTCTCATTGAATGGCAGAAAGAGGATCATTGGAAGACCACCTTGCTATATTTAAGGAGATCATCGCTGATTTGAAAACTTTAGAAATAGAGTATGATAAAGAAGATTTAGTCTTAATCATATGTGTTCGCTGCCCACTCCATTTTCTTCATTTAGAGACACAATTTTGTATAGTCGTGATACTCTTATCATAGAGGAAGTGTTTGATGCTTTATATTCAAAAGATAAGATGAAGCATCTGGTTTATGAGGCCAGAGATGGTAAATGTCTGGTTGCTCATGATAGTTCTGGAAGGGGTAGATCAAAATTTAAGTTCAGTAATCAAATTTGTAACTATTGCAAGAGGAAATGGCACTTAAAGAAGGATTGCTACA